TGTTGCCATACAGCTTCTTGAAAAGAGAGGACTATTTGTAATGTCCCCAATAACTACTAAAACTTTGCCAGGATCAGATATTTGTATGTGTGTTTTCCACCTGAGCAGTATAAATCAATATTTAAAAGCTGTTTTGTGTTTCTTTGCTTATTACCTAAAAAGTAATATGAAAAAATATTTATTTTACTTTCTTGTATGAATTGCTTAAATCCTTTGCTTACCTATTGGAACCCTCTTATAAATTTTAAGAGATTTAATCCATATTACACACAACCCAAGGTATTTATTTATTTATATTTTTTAAAAAAATATATTTTATTGATTTTTAGAGAGGAAGGGAGAGGGAGAGAGCGATAGAAATATCAATAAGGGTATTTAAATAATGTATAAACCACATTATATGTAACCCAAATTTTCCCCAGTGTGTTTGCCGTTTAGTTTACGTTCCAGTAGAAACAGAATTAAAGTTTTATATATTCAAAGCTTCACTCTACTTCAACACAATGCTAAGAAAAAAAGAAATCTTTAGGATTATTCAGATCCAAAGATGATAAAAGTATCTTGCAAACACAGGAATTTAAATAAAGGCATGAAACAATAGGCTCAGAACAATGGCAGGACTTCTTAGGTGGAAAGTGGTGAAGTAGAAGAAACTGTTAGCAGAGTACACAGGATACAGAAATTAGCATCTCTTGGCAGATTAAAATTAATTGTAGAGCAACAAAACCCAAGGAGTAAAACTTGAGTTTAATCCCAACAGTATCAGGAACTGTTCCTGTGACCTTCTTTAGGTCTTTATCTCCACTTACAAAAAATAGGGGCACCACCACATGCACTGCTGATCTGCTGTGAGGGTAAGAGCACCTAACGGTTTCAGTTTCTTTCCTCACTCTGGCTGAGTAGTTTTCCTGCAGCCTAAATCTGGTCCAGAAAAAGTCACCACTCTCACTTTCACTTTGATAGCCCATATGATGCCATCTCAAAGATTTACTCATACTTCCTTATTGCTTGTGACTTGTTCCTTTGACAGTTTTAGCCATGCTTGGAGTGGGAAGCAGGGTTTTGCTTCAAGGTGTTAAACTTTAATTGCACATTTCAAGAAATGGTTCTTTTAAATGAAGATTCAACTTATGTAGGGTGACAAAGTACAAGTCTTTGAAGCCTGACACCATTACTGAACTATTAAAGTAAGACTTAACAATAAAAGCAATTAAGTAAATAAAACTCACTTTTGGAAAATTTTACTCAATGAGACTTTAATACATCCCTTTATAGGCAGAAAAAGACAAAGTTAAAGCACACTTATATGCCAGGACAGTGCTGTTCAGTGGTTGAGCATCAACCTACGAACCAGGAGCTCAAGGTTTGAATCCCAGTCCCGGTACATGTCTGGGTTGCAGGCTTGATCCTCAGAGTGGGGCGTGCAGGAGGCAGATCAATGATTATCTCTCATAACTGATGTTTCTACCTCTCTCTCCGAAATCAATATAAATATATTTTAAAAAAAGGAATTAGTCCAAGCACATTTTTTTTCAAACATAATTTGCCTACATTACTAACCCAAGATTACTACAGAATTTGAATTGAACACAGTGATTCTGAGATGTGGGAAAAATTAGTATTTATGTTTATTTACTAAAATAAGAGTAACATTTGAAGTTGAGGTACTGGGTTAAATACTTTACATAATTAAACTAGGCATGAATATAATGAATAACTTACTGGCAGTCACAGAACAAATAAGTAGCAGACAGGATCCAAACCCAGGTAATCTAGTTCCTAATTACTAGCCTACACACTTCTCATAGGATAGCATTAGTAATATTTAATATTAATACCATACTTTCAACAATTCCAAATGCACATTCTCATCTTAGTATCTCTGAAAACAGAATATATCTTAAAAGAGATGGCATCTTATAAATTGGCAGTACTTTTTTCTTTCTTGGTAGTACATAAAATCATGTTACAGCTTAGAATAAATGGTGTCTTGTTTTTGATGAAATGGACATACTATATCTGTTATTAGATCAGTGATTTTCAATCTTTTTCATCTCATGGCACATATTAATTACTAAAATTCTGCAGCACACCAAAAAATATTTTTTTTTGCCCATCTGACAAAATAAAAAAGGTGTAATTTTGATTCATTCACACCAGATGGCTACTGTTTATGTTGGCTATTGTCATTTTTTTGTTTGACAATCTAAGGCAGTGGTTCTCAACCTTGGTTGCACATTAGAATCATCTGGGAATCTTTTTAAAATCCTAATTTCTGGGCCTCATCCTCCAGAAATTCTGTGTCTTTGTTAGTAATGTTATGGCCCCACCCCATAACAAAGAAACAGAATTTCTGGAGGATGAGGTCCAGAAATTAGGATTTTAAAAAGATTCCCAGGTGATTCTAATGTGCAGCCAAGGTTGAGAACCACTGATCTAAGGAAAAGAGGTCAGTGCCCCTGACTAAATAGTGCAGTATTGCATTATCTTAAAATTTTTTGTGGCACACTGCTTGAAAATTGTTGCATTAGATCTTAATGAGTTATGTACTATATTGAAGGTATCCTGAAAGAATGGGAATTCCACAATCATAGGAGGTAACAGTAGAGTTCTAACTATTTGAACAGTGTGTTGCAATGTACTGAGATCTACCTATTCCTAATTACGTGGATCTGCAGAATCTGTCCAATTTAATGGTAACTTGAAGAAATTAGTCATTGAAGATAATATTACAAATGCAAAATATAAAGAGAATATTAATAACAGCAGAGAAATTAAAAAAAGATAATTTGATAAACAAATACTTGGAAGCGTATTTGAAATTTTTCCTACTAAAAAGATGCACAATCAAAAATTTTAAAGACTAATGAAATAAGACAACTCAATTCTGGCCTTTTTAAAAAAAATCCCTTGTTAAGGTTTCTTTTTGTTAAATAAAATGTTGTATTTAACAACTGATGGTGGTGGTAGTGGGAGGGAAGTGGTGTGTGCAGAAAAAGGAAATTACCACTGCATTTTACATGATAAAGACACCAATAAAAAGTATGGTTGAGATTCTGTATTTGCAAATAAGGGTACTTGCTGAAATTCATCTGTAATTTCAAAATAAATATTCAGAGGCACTTTCCTCAGTCTCTCAAGGAGCAGGGAAAAATTTGAGTTGCCCAATGCACATTCCCAGCTGAGGGAAAACAAGGAGATGCTTTTACATTGTTTCAGCTCGCATACTCTAAGTGTCCTTTTGGCAGTATATGTAGTTCCATGTTATTTGCTTTTTGCTAGTGACTTTGCTGTTTAAACTGGCTCCCAGGTGTAGTGCTGAAGTGCTATCTAGTGTTTCCAAAAACAAGAAGGCTGAGATGTGCCTAAAGGAGAAAATATGTGTATTATATAAACTTCATTCAGACATGAGTGACAGTGCTGTTGGCCATGTGTTCAATGTTAATCAAACAATATATATTAAATAAGGTGTCATTAACAAAAACAAATTTTTTTAAAAGTTATATGCTAGAGGCCCAATGCACGAAATTTGTGCAAGAGTAGACCTTCACAGCTGCCTCAGCCCTCACAGTCCCTTGCAGCTGCAGCTGCCTCTCAGCCCTGACCCCTGCCCCACTGGTCATTCTGGAAGGTCATTGTGCAGTCTGATCTAATTAGCATATTAGCTCTTTATTATATAGGATCGGCATTATCCATGGACACAGACAGTAGTGTGGTGAAAGCCTGAGAGAGGGTGGGAGCAGGGTGAAGGAGGTTAATGGGGAGTAAAGGAGAATATATATAATGCTTTCAATAATAAAGATAAATTAAAACAAAATAAATCAGGTGTAAACTAACAAACAAAAATGGAGTTATCATAAGAATTGACCAAGTCTGTTCTCCACCACCCACCGCATTTTCTCAGGTTCATTAGGTAATGTCATATTTGAAGAAAGTGAAGGTGATAAAGTAATCAACTGATGACACCAAATGACAAAGATAATTTAAAAATAATAAAACTACTTTATGTTCTAAAAGTGCATCTATGAAAATTACAAATGGTTGCTTGGCACTGATGGAAGGCCTTGAAGACTTCTCAGCTTTACGAGTTGAATTATTTCTTTCTTGGTAACTGCCAGGTTTCCCTGGGCTTGGCATAGTGCTGACGCTTAGTGACTGCTCCATTAATTACCTTTGGATGAACATGGGGCTTCCAGGGTAAAAAAAAAATCTGACAACAGGAGGATGATTAATAAGATAAGAGAAGGAAGCAATGTTGTATGCTCAGCTTACCCAGCAAACCTCATACATATGGTGGTAAAAATGTAAAATCCATATATTATA